AGAGAGAGAGAGAGAGAGAGAGAGAGAGAGAGAGAGAGAGAGAGAGAGAGAGAGAGAGAGAGAGAGAGGTCTTGACGCAGACTAGTAACACGGGTGAGAGATTGTACATGGAGTGTTACTTCCAGCCTCCGCAGCCAGCCGGCCTGTGTGGTTCGCGGGCTTGACATGGTGTCTGTCTGAAGTCAATATTTGTCAGTATGTCACTTCGTCCGCCTGTTGTCCGTCACTGACCAGGTCGATATGAGCAGGAGCAGCTAAATATTCTTACAATGTCATATTTTGGAAATTAAATCATCCTCATCAAAGCACTTGCGCTTTGGACGCTTGGCGATTTTCATAAAAAAACCCATATATGTATTGTTTATATCAATCAAATGCTTCCCATTGTATTAGTGAATACAACATTTCACGCCAAAAATATATGATTCCATGTTGCTTACTTCTTGATAACCTCAATCAATATGTGCATTTTCTCATGACATGTAAATGTCTTTAAAATGAAACCAGACTCTTTAATTATGATGATGATGATGATGATGCTATTAGTTTGATGATGACGACAACAGTGTGACATAGAGGTATTTAAGTCTTAAGTAACAACAAATATAGGTCATGAGTGTGGCTAATATTTTGACGCACTCGTGACATATCCAAATATTAGCCACACGAGTGAAATATATTCGTTATTACTTAAGATACAATTAAATGTTCTATTTGTTACATTTTTAAAGCATAAAACATGAAAAATGTAATGCATTAAAAAGGGCGGTTGACAACAAGGCTGCGCGCCATTTTAAATGGGATACTAAACGTTATTCCAACGATTTCTGCTATTGGTTTAAACTTTGTTTCATTCAAATTTTGTTTGACAATACATCGAAGTACATGTTTCATAAAACAGATAAGGAAACAAAAACAAGTGTCGTGACACTTATGTTAATTTGCTACCTGCTTAATAATCAACTTTTCAACACTAGCTACAGGAATGAAGTAATATGTACAATAGAATAATTACGGGAATAGGGGAGGGGGTAGTGGATTGGATATGCAGTGGAAACCAGGAATGAATAACATATCAATATGCTCTATTGCAATGAGTATGTGGAACACGATTCTGTAAAATATAACTATGAAATAGTAGATGAAAATTTCAGCAATGCAATGGACACTCGATTAAGGTTAAAATGTATATAGTTACATAGAATAAATCACCTCTAAATCAACTATTGACAAAAATAATATGTCACAAAGCACCGCCATGATTATTAAAAACGTTGCAGTTCACATACTAGCCATCACACTTATTAAATATAAGTCTATGAACGCTTTCCCGCCTCGTCCCCGGCACGTCCTGCTCTTTCAAGGAAAGTGTGGTCATCCTCGATATCCAGGGGTTACGCTTACTTTTGCTCTCTACACAGCGAAAGTGAGCGTAACCCCTAGATATCGAGGATGTTTTCTGGTATGATTGCTTATAAACATGCTATTAATTGTATATTTATGTTAGTATCGAAGTGTGTACCAAACATTTACAATCGCAACCACTTATTCTACCGTCGCTTCATTTGAATCTTAACAAAAATTCGTTGCCTTTGAATGCAGCGAATAGAAGTGATATTTTCACAGTTGATATTTGTCACAGTTTTATCAAGTTGATAAAATCCGATATTTCACTGGAAAAAATGTAATAAATTACTTTGAGAATGATGATGATTTCAGTATTGATGATGATGATGATGATGATTGGAGTCTCATAACGATGAAATCAGTTCGAGTATGAAGATGATTTTTACTGATGAGAATGATAATGATGAGGATGATGTTAATGTCATGATAAAGATATCTGGGTGATGATGATGATGATGATGATGATGATGATGATGATGATAGTTATTTACTTTTTACTATGGAACAAATGTTAAGTTTAATATATTTGTTCTTAAATAATTAGTTAATTTACTGCGTTTTGTTGATGCGTCGTTCTTTAAACGACATTGGCGGAACAGCCCTATATTAATCAAATTGGCGCCACTAATTATGTCATTTGAGTGTTTGCCGTAGGGGCATTCTCCATGTTATCCGAAGCGAAGCGACAAAACTCTCATTGAACAAGGTTAATCCATAACGTCATAAGTTAACCACGTGATACGTCACGAGAATTTTTGCTTTCATACTCAAATGGAATGCATTTCTGCTGGAAATGTTCATATAGTGGGTTGCAGCGCAAATGTAAATATAACATTATGAAATGATGTGTGAGTGTATGTGAATGCAATGAGCGTGTGTATGGGTGTAAGGGAATGTGTGCATACTATACCAGAAATAACTTTAAATCAAATCAAAATAATCTCCTTGTTGCGCCTTTGCAATGCGCAGTGCAGTACGGTACAGCGATAATTATGCTTTTGAGAAATTCTCGATACTTATAAAACTATATAGTACCTTCGACATATAAAGAACAATATACATGTACAGAACGTCTTTGTCTTATTTACCATAGTGGCTTTCTGTTTTTTCATAATCAAATTCTACAATAATAAAAACAATATTTTGATATTATGTTACGATCAATCCCTTTGATTTTATTATCCTCATCATTATATGATGATAAATTTACCATTTAATTATGATAAATTTACCTTATGTTTTGATTAATAATCATCATAGTCTGGTTATTTATCTTTATAATATGTGTTCTTTATTAATTATACTATTTAGAATATTATTTGTGTTAATGCATTTAAGTGGTTTACATCAATCACGTATGCATATTTCATAGATAAGAAACATCAATGTCATAATCGTACAATCTATACACTAAGACAAAAATAATAGTCGGCGTTTTTACAAAAAAATAAATTTGCGAATAAATTCCATATATACACAATTTACGATATGACATAATGAGTTAAAATTGTAAAATAAACATTCTGTTCGAAATGAATCGATTCTTTTTCCCTTTAAACACAATTTTGACATTTACATGTATCAAATCATATTCACATGCAAGTTTTTACTAAAAACAGATTTATTTCCTGATATCGGGTCTATGTGAACTAAACGTCAAAACTTACGATATATGTATTGTTTAAAAATGAGTATATATTTATTAATGCAGAAAAGTTAACTAAGCTTTTTTCATTCATTCAAGACTGCACAAGCGAAGGGAAATAACTCGCAACATTAGTTTGTCATAAAGTAAAAGGAAGAAAACAAGAGAATGAAAAAAAAAGTTTTAAGAAAGTTTTATACTAAAATGGCACCTTTCTATTAAATTCAGGGAATATCTTTAGAAAAGTTTATTATACGACACTATCAGTACGCATCAGTTCTCATGATTACTTAAAATCTTTATCTTTTTTTTTCAGTAGCCTTGCATTTTAAGTTTACCTTAGTAATAGCTGCCCTTAATATTTCCATTATTTCTTGCTTTTTCGAGAAATACATATAGAGATGATCTTGTATGGGTGTCCATATGATATTGTGTTGATTAAACGAGTTCGTTAATTAACGACATGAGCACTGAGGCGAGTATCATATCAAATTATTTAACAACATTCAAAGATAATCAATGACATATATATATGTTACAAATATAGCTAGCCCCATTGTGTTGAAATTACGAAAGATACTATTTTCTATTTGATATGAAACCTTCAGCATTGATATTCTATAAATAACAAGAACTAATATGATTTCAATGACGTCATATATATACAATGACGTCAATACATGCATATCATAAACAAATCGTAAAAAGCCAGCTCAACTTAATGACATACATAGTTTAGTTTTCAAATTCATTTTTTTTTTAATATAAATATCATCATATGATTATTTTTTAGGTAAATTATATTTGATCGTTTTGTATCTTATAGGTCATGTATATTTTCATTTCAGTTTTATTAATTATGAAAATTCCTCGTTTTAAATATTTACATAATGTCCCGTAGACCTGACAAATCTTAGAACACCTTACTCCGGACCAAGACCTATTACACTTGTAAAAGGCACGCACACACATGGGGGAGGGGGATAGGGCCTCAGTAGGGTACAAGATAGAGAACACAGGGGTCTCCATATAAAAATTCTCCGCAGCTTATAACCGTTTGATGTTAATAATAGTTTCTTAGGATTGAAAATGATCACATTGCGCTCATAATCAGAAGCTCAAACAGATAATATGCTTAAACAGAAACTAGATAAATCGGAAGACAAATAAATGTTTTAAGTCCAGCTTATGAAATATTATTTGTTTAAACTACAGATTTTGCTTACAAAATGACAAATCTTTATACAGGAAGGGTATATATTTCAGAAACGACCTGATATTTCCCTATTCGTTTTATAACATTAATTAGACTTAATTTGTCAACATAATTGATACGTGCTATGGCGTAAACCGCAGTTATTATACACGCATACAGGTTTCAAAACAAACCTAAAAGATTAATTGTTCAGCTCTTTTTTTGCGTAAAGAAATACGAAATTGATATCTAAGTTGTTAATTTCTTTCATATTACAAAAAGTCATTGTCAGTATGCTATTTTTAAATTATAATTGTCAGTATGCCATATTTTGTAATACGACTTGCAATAAACATCTACAACATGGAATCAATTTAAATTTAATATGAATTCCATCAATTTCTTTGTGAATGGAACGAAATTGAAACCCAACGTTGTACTTTAAAAGTTGCGCTCAGCTGACGAC